GAACAGGTAAAGCAGACATTTTAAGTCAACTTGAAGAACTTTTAATACTCAGAGCTACAGATGTCATATAAACTGTATTAGAATATACATTTTTCTATACAAAGAAAAAACCAAACCAAGTTGAGTCTCTCTGCATGAAAACAACTGTGATTGTACAAATGAGGAGTGTTGGGAGTAAAACAAAAGTGCCCAATAATATTATGTTTGAGCCATTTTTTTCTTTTTCTGCCATTGCAGCAATACACTGTTGTAGTTTTTTTGTTTGTGTCATCTATTTCAATTCCAAACCCAGGAACACATTATCCAGGACTATATACAGCACATCTACAGCACAGGACAGTCACATATGAACAGGTCATTGTTTTCATTCTACAACCACAGCTTGCTAAAAAGCCACATAGGAGGAGTAACTGTCTCTGTTTGCATTTCACTTACAATTTATGCTCATAGTGCAGACACTGAGGGAGGACTGCAGCTGTTGCTGATGTGCTGCGTTCTCTGCACGGCTGCTGGAGACGAGGTCAAAGTTCAGCAGTGGCAACATGGTGTTCACACACTCAGTAGAAAACAACTGCTGCCTCATTCATCCCTGCATCATCCCAAATATTCCCTGTAAATGTTACCCTGCTGTCCTCACCGGCAGCACTTCCACGTCATGAGAATAAACCCAGACTGCAGCAAATAGAGCCAGTTGTGCATCATCTCTCATACAGAACATACCAGACGTTGTGTTGAATCACAGTCTTAGTGCTCACAAAAAAGAAAAGATGTCCCCACAGGCTTTCCCATTGACGGCTCTGAAAGAGAGGATGGCTGTGGGCGAACACAGGACTCTGTTTGTTACGGGAGTGGAAGCGGAATCTCTCAAACGAGACAGCTGCTCATTCCCGACCCCGATGGCGTACGAACGCTCCAACCTCCACAGATCCTCGTTTTACCAGCTCCTCCCAAACCCCCCAAACCCCCCAAACCCTGCGTCCCGCAGAGAGAGCATTAGCCACACATGTCGAGGTTACAGAGGGAAAATACACGCAGGAGAAGGGTCACTGCCTCGGTCGGACTCCCAGAGCTTTCAGGGCGGGAGGTTTGTGTTGGTGTTTTGGTTTTGCGGCCCGGGAGGAGGTGTCAGGACTGAGATAAAGGCCAGATAGGAGAGGCACATGGGGCTGACTTGATAATAGAGGGTGTAATACAGCTTTGCTGAACCCAATTCAACATAATGACAGTAGAAAATGCCATACAACTGCTGATTTTAAGAAGCTTTCTAGATCTTAATCTCCCCAAATGATGCACATAGCAGCTTCATGTTGTGACTTTATTTATGCAGGCTTTCGGTGTTGGTGCAGGCAACATGGCGTCTGCCCTCAGAAAATGAATGCTGACATAACAGACAAACCAAAACATCAGGTTGTTATAAAGCAAAGACATTTCCTCACTTTCCTTAAAGGATAAATATAAGCAAGATGCTTACGTTTCTTTCCCACTTTAATAATCTGACCTGTTGATATAATTCGTACTCGGACACCTCGGACTCTGCTCTGTGAGATAGTTTACTCAGGTTTAACTGGAATGAGAGGCTCAGAGGTCTTACTGGTGCAACAGCTGGGCCTTGATCCACAGCTCCCAGTCCCAGTCCAGACTCTTTAGCGTTCCCCTGCTCATGTGTTGACATTAGCCCGGCTGAGGCCCAGCTTCCTTTCATGTCTCAGTGTTTGGTAGAAAATCCACATAACAGCAGTTGTGTTCCAGCTCTATTTAAAGGTTTTGTGTTGAAGTGGTTTTGTGACGTCTCGGGTCCCTGAGAGCTGCTCTGTCTGATTCCTGGTGAAATTTTTAGAATATCATTGTATTTGTTTGTAGACCCTTTTCGGCACAGTGAGCGCCAAGGAGGACTGGGGAATCTCGAACATTCATGACATCAGATGGTTTGAAGGCCAACTGGAGGGGGATATTGGACTGAGGAACATAAATAAACCAGGATGTAGGACTGTTTTCAGCAGGAACTTTCGCAGGCTCCGAATGCTTGAAATCAAGTGCCGGCGCCTGAAAAACCTTCCTGGGTGCAGTGTTTTTGTAACTTAACTCCACCTTTGTGTTTTTGCAAAGTATTTCTTTCTTTGTTTGCCAGATAGATCTGAAATAAACTACGATTAAAGGTTTTATACTTTAAGTAAAACATTTTGTATCCACTCAAAAAGGGTTTTGCTAGCGATAACGTTCGCGAGTAAACAAGCAATGGTTAGCCAACCAGCTGCTACCTAACCATGCCGAATAACGTTATGTTGGAACACGCAATTTGTCCCTGTTAGCAAGCAAGCTCAAGTTACAAACACAAAACATTTGTATATTATAAAAGTAGGTTAAGCTTTGCAGTGATGTTAGCTTGGACTGTGGACTTGTTGTGGTGGATGCCGGTTGTTTGTTGACATTAAGTAAACTCCATTTACGCTACGACCCGTTCACTCATTGGCAATAAATCAAATCATTGGTGATAAAGTGATGAAGAATACTTCAGAATCGTACGTATGCAACCCAATTTAGGGCCTCATATAAACTCATTTCACTTATCCTTGGTGCTGCAGAAACTATGATTTAAATAGAGATTAAATAGCTATAACTCTGTGGTCAAGAGTCTGATTCACCCTCAAGCCTTAATATTCCCAGTTTTTAAGTTTTCTCAAAAAAATAATGTCCATTATCGTGTCTTAAGTGTGTTTTTATCCATTAACAGAGATGTGCACTTTCCCTTTGGTCCATCGGAAAGTACAAACGAGATCTTTGATGTTCAGGTTTCAGGCAATCAGTGGTGATGAATGAGGGAGAGGAGGTGAGGTTTTGGCTCAGAGCCCTAGTTTAGAAATGGGCTAGTAGCTCTGTGGGTCAGAGTGTGTGAGTGTGTGTGAAGAGGAGAGGGAGGAGTGGATTAAGGGTGGAGGGAGGGACAGCACAATAAGATAGTGTGCCACTGTCAGATGCGTCTTTCTCTCCCCTCAGCGGAGGGAGGGCGGGCGGCACACGCTGCCCACAAAGAACATGGATGTACGTGTGTGTGTGTGTTTTAGTGTGTGTGAGGGTTGGGGGGGTCTTTGGTGGTAAAAGAGCCTTGAAGAGTGTGCTGGTGGGAGGAGGGACACCCCTCTCTTTTCTTTCTCCACCCAAACTTGATCCGAGTGCAGATTCCTCTGGTGGTGCACATCAGGAATGTCCATATGGTCCCGGCTGGTAAACAGCACACGCCTTGTCTTTGTGCACGTTACAATGGGACATCTTCCTTTGTTTGGTTCCTTTTTGTCACATCAAAGAGCCAGATGTCAGCCGCTGTCCACATCAGGATGAACTTTCTTTGTATGTCTGTTTTACTTGTGAAAATCACCCATGAATGATTTTGTATATAACCTGTATTTTAATTGTAAGACTATATTCTTCGTAAATCCCATCAAATGACCAAAACCAACAATGTGTTTGTCTGTCCCTCCATCCTGGGGCCCACTGGTTCCTACTGAAGATATAAATCTTTTTCAGCATCAAAATTGAAAGTCCTGTAAACAGCTCATTTCTTAGTCAGGGTAATCAGGACCTGAGTCCAGGGAGTACAGAGACAAACCTCCAGAAACCTGTGGGACATCTTGAGTTCTGGTCTGGGTAGCGTGTTTAACTTTGAGAATAGATTTCAGTTTTCGTTACTCTTTCAGAAGCAAATACAAATATGTTAGCATTAGCAGGATAGCTTTTGAGATACATGAAAAGAAAAGCCTTTTAAACAACTCCAGAGGAGTATTTCAAAGGCACCAGATATCATTCCACATGTTTGATTGACAGGTGACCTGGACGATCCCTGACACGTAC